CGAATTTGAATCGGATACCCCTTTGATTATTGCGAGTACTTTACATAAAGCCTGAACATTTTCAAAATTTTCTCAGAAACGGTTCGAAATTTTTGGATCAAAGTTTTTCCTTGGGTAAAGTAAAGAACGCTTAAGAAATAGTGTCGGTCTCATTTTTCTTAAACACTGTGAATTTTCGAAACTTGCAAAAGTACAAATATCCCTTCGAATATCTCTTGAACCGTTGCAGATATTGTGATGCGGTTTTCACTAAAACGAATGTATGGGAGGGAGCAGATAAGTGCTATAATATTAAACTATATCTTTTTTTACGATATCGACCCAACTTCTATTTTAAAAAAAATGGAACCCTATATAATTCTTACTCCATGATAACTAGCTTCACGAGACGAGTTCATACTAGAGATAGGATTGTTGCATAGCAATATTTAGCTTTCTGTAAGGCAGTCCCGGATTCTATTCCCATCCGGTGCAAAAGTTAAGCTCTAACTTTATAATTTATATTCGTCTCATTGTCACTTTCAGAAAATCGTCTCAGTTTCTATAGCACTGTGCTGAAAGAAAGAGCCCAGGCAGGCCAAATAAGCTAGGTACATTGATGGGTATTCGCCAGGCTCACCATGTTTCCCTTACCCCCAGGTTTGGATATTAAATAAAACAGCGCCCAATCCTGGGAACACCGCTAACTGGCAAAAGTTTGATTAATCCAGCCCTGAAATGACAAATTATATATAACAACATTTTTGAGAAATTTATCGTTTTTACAAGAACGTCTATTCTTAACATTCTGCCACTACCTCCAGGGAAATGTAACGATTCCTTTCCAGATACCCTCTCCTTGACACCCCTTCCTGCTAACTGCCTCAACTGCGATAGCCGTAACAATGCCAGCTGGCGCAAAGACAGTGCTCTGTAACACGAAATTTTTAATACGGTGGCGGCGTACAATATGAAATAACGTGCCGGAAAAAAATACGAGTATTGGGTAAGTCATAGTCTTAATATGCACCAAAATTCATTCAAATTGGTCGCTTAACCTAAAATAAAAGTTATAAGCTCTCCTTGGCATAAACTAACAAGGGGTCTTTCGACAGGTTCAGGTCAAAATCTGGCCTGATTTTTTTCTATTGAAATATATTCACTGTTTGTGTGTGCTGCGAATAAATAGCTGCCGTTGCGCACTGGAAGTTACTAAAAAATAAAGAATTCGATCAGTTTTGACCACGCTGTTTTTGTTAACGCCATGCTCAACCCTTGCTGCAACGCAGTGGGGAATCCGGGGGAGGGGGACCATAGAGTTTTCGTTTGTTACTTTCCTTTATTTTGCAAAATTGATTTAAATATTTGTTAGATATATGTAATTATTTAAAAAAATGTATAGTATCATCTATATACAACAAAAATTATATACAATATAATAACAAATGTTTATTATTGAACAATAATCTATAATCTCCCCTCATCAGCTAGATCAGCCCCTGCTGCAGCAAACGATTCACGTTCATGTCATTACTCGCTAGGATCTCTACTTGTAGGTTATACCTAACAGTTTGCTGGGCGAAAAATAATAGTTCCTTTCGGGGAACATTGTGTCCCGGTATACTGAATCAGTTGATTTATTTTGTTTATTCGTCAATTAGATACTAGAGATTAATCGCAATTAGTACGACAGCGATTCTTTTATACGTTTAATAAACACACTTAAATCGATTATAGTAGATCGATTATTATAGCCGAGTAATCTATACATGAATTAAAATTTACGATTATAGAGTTTGATAATTTCAATTATTCAAAAAGAATTTCTTTTGTATATAGGTTTAATTTTTTTAAACGCTGCAAATCCGGCAAAAAAGAGATTCATCATAAGCGCCTACTGACAATGCGGTATATTTGGTATGGTGGGTTTGAGCTGCTCGACTACTATGATTAGCTCATTGTCTCCTATATTATTTCAGTAGTATACATTCCTTTTGCAAGTCTCGAAGTCTATAGAGTTAAATAACTCCTAAACGAAGCGTTCTATGACATTAAAATATGGAATTTTGAGGCCACAGCCCTTAAAGAGAGTTTCGAAAGAAACGTTTCCCATACCGTAATCTACAGATTGAGATATTAGTAGACATTCTATTACATTTTTCTTCGAATTTCATTTTTCTTGTTTGTGAAGTCACGCTTACAAGGCTTAGATTCTTCCATTTAATGATTACACTTTCTGCGTACATCGTGTTTTTCCCGTACTGCGTACTGACGAGGTTTATTTGTATACTAAATA